TATTCAAAAGACAGGTTAGGTTATTTTTTTCTATTTCCAACATTGTTTCTTGGGTAAAGTATATATGATATGATAAAAAAATAGATAGTACCTACTCAACAAATTGGAAAAGAAGTGGACCAATGCACTGGCAGCACAAAAACTGAAATGCATATTGTGCATCGTTTCTGCATTATTTTTGATAGTATTCATTGCATTCTGAATCTGTCTCCATAATTCCTGTTCAATATTTACTGGTCTAAAGTACACCTCAAACTCAATAGGTACTGCTCCCCATAAAGTTTAGCATATTTCCTCTGCCGTTTCATCTACTCATTATCTGAAAATTGTTGATACAAACAGCAGTGGACATTCATAGAGTGAAATGTGGTGGAGCCTTATCATGCAAGAGCCACATGTTGTGAAAAAGGTACTCCTCAAATTATTATCGTCAGTTTAGGTCGATGAGACAAGATTATTGGCCTCAAAATGAAAATTCCTCAAACTGTGGAATTGTCAATGATACTAGTAGCCGGTATGGACATCCAAGTGGCTATTCGATGTGCTTCCATGGACATAAATAGGCTTCCAGATGGAGTACACACTAGATCATCAGCTGTACATTAAAAGATAGTTCCATTTGGCGTCCATGGATGTCTTGGACTTCAAATGGATATAAAATGGATGTCGTCTGGATAACGTGTGTTATTAGGGATACCTACTATCACTAGCACCAAGACCTTTGCAACCATTCATGCCCTTCTCCTTGAATGTAAATATTTGTATAAATATGTATATTTTTTATGACATCATATTATTGTTTCTTCTAGCACATAATATATTGGTACACATAAAATGTTATATGATTTTATGAGCTTTTGATTATGTCATACCAAGCTGTGTATTGACTTGAACGTTTTTCACAATTTTTCAAAATACATTTTCATGTGTTGTATAGCATGCTGCAAGAGTCATCCTATCCTTTTCTTCGATAGAATCTTGTCACTTTAGTTTCGAAAAAATTTCCCTGAAATCACACATGAAAAAACTGTTGTGGCAATTGTGTAATGCGACTGATTGCATTATCTAGTTGCTGTTATTGGCCCAGAGAAGGACCACCATAAGCTTTTGTATCTGTCCCAAGTCCCTATGGTAGGTATAGAACAGGTTAGTAAGTTGTATGTTAATAACTTTCAAGTCTAAAAAATTGCATAACAAATTCCACGATCCATTTTCACAATGAATACAAGATTACTTTCAGTTACCTCACTATGGTAATGTCTTCGCAATTTTTCTGAAACTTAGTAGTCTTGTGTTCATTCTGATAGAATCTTGTCTAACCATATATTTGAGGTTGAATAATTGTTTTCACAACATTCTAAATTGAATAATTCTGATCTCAGATCAATTCAAAGTAGGTAGGTTTCCTTTTGGAAAATATCTATTCAACCTCGAACAGCTACTGGATAATTGTTAGTGACTTATTTTGACAATTTGATGCTTAGTTATTTCAGGAAATTTTCAGTAATAATTTTTAAATATGTTGATTTTGTCATTTTTGTCATTCATGAATTTTTGTATTTTCATTTCCAATTTCTCATATTTTTTAACGTCTTCAGTTTTCGTAGTGAATAAACCACATATTTCTTCGAGTTTATCAATTTTTTTGCTCAAAGTCAGAAGCCCTGAGGACTCTCTTTCGCATTGACCACTCATATTTTCCAGAATATTTGTCAGATCATATTCATGGAAATTATCTGGATATTTGTTTTTCACTAATTGTTCCACCATGTTTCGCTGAGTCCATGTCCATCAATGTTTTTGACGATGGATACGTTGAAATATTTTAGAACCTCAACTACTTCTGAATCAGTAAGGTCTTCTAATAACTTCATTATTTACATTTGATAAAATTGCCGATGCCATCATCGCTTCAGTGTAGTATGTATCACACTGTAAAATGAAATTTAGTGTTGAAATGTAGAACATCAAAATCAAAAATTGACGTGTTTCAGATATTTTTGAAAAGGCTTTTAGTTTAGGAAATATCGAATTTGTTCCATACTTTACGGACACAGTGTATACTTATCATCAGGAGTATACTATCTGAACTGTGGATTTTGTCCTAAGGTATATATTGGACAGACAGATAGAACGTTTAACCAACGACTTCACGAACATCATATAAGTTTTTTGAGAAAACGAACAAATTCAACATACGTCAAAACGTGTATTAGAAGAAGAAATAGTTTTGATGATTATTTTCTGAACTTGTAGAAAATGGAGGAACTAAACTTGCACATTTGGAACTATTAGTGATCAATAACAATCGCGAAAAGTCATTTCATTTAACGATCAACTAAACCGCTTTTGAATTCGTTTTTTTTTGCATTATTGTGGACAATCGTTACTAGTACCAGGTCTTCAATGATTAAACACCACGGGATCATTATTGATGCGGCGTCTCTTTACCACCCACGTTAAAGAGATACGAATGTATTCGTGGTTGCATAGTAATCTGTCACGTGGTGTTCAATCATTGTTGAAGACCCGTTATGTCTGAAAACCAATGAAAATTTCCGAGATATGGCTACGTTGCAGTTGTCCAGTAGCTTTTTCATTCGAATAAACAATGTAAATAATTGATACGAAACATTTCGATTAAAGATAATTTTGACAACACCTTCAGAGGTAACCATAGTACTGGTGAGTATATTCCCTCTTTGACAACAATATTCTGTAGATCTTTTTGATTAGATTTTTCTTTCACGATTAGTGAATGGGTTTCTTAAGGCAATCTTGTGATATGTCGGTGTAAACAGTTGGATAAAATAGGTAAAACATCTACATATCAGAAGAGTTGTTTTTCAACACAACTAAATGATCTTCTCATTATTTTACGAATAATTGTGCAAAATTTCAGATTCTTTTTCAGTAGATACGTATATCAACCACAACCTATGAGTTGAATGCATGGTTCAAAATGAAGTTAAGTTCAATTATTCTATACAGAAAACTTGTTCAATGATTATCAATTTGAGAGTCTTCTCGTCATTAGGTTTTTTTTGTATCACAGGTTCATTATGCAAGTCACGTAGGAGAATTGAAACAAAAAATGAATAAGATTCAACATACTGAGTTGAACGGACTAAAATACAGTTTCATCGTGAAATACTGGGAAGATCTCAATATATGACGAATCCTTGAAGACTGCATCCGGAAGATACCATACATTGTAATCAATACCTGTAATTCATTATCGATTTGAATGGAAATCTAGTAGGCTAGGTATAATAAATTGTCTCTTCACTGACTGAAAATATTTCTGTCTGTCAATGGCGCTGATTTATTGAGTCAATAGTTCATTTGTTTCAATTGAATATTTATCAAATGGACAATTTTGGGTTGAGGTTTTATTCCTATATTTCTTTTGAAACTGTTCGTTTGACTATAACTTCGAACAGACCGACGACGCACAACGCACAACGTATGTTCTTTTTTACTGGAATTCATTATAGTAGGAGCTCCGGCTGCAAATTTCGACCGTCATCTGATAACGAAATGATATATGTTCCAAAGGCATGTAAAACCATTTTATTTTATCGAACGGTTCCTGTGCCAATTACAATATTGTGCAAAATGATCGAAAAATTACACTTTGCTGTGCGTTAACCCAATAGCGCCGTGCGTTGCCATATGGCAACGCTAGTTAGGTGGAGATTTAAATAATTCCCAAGCACTCAAATTTTCAGCTATCAGGGTGGGGGTCAGGCCACATGATTCGCAAAAGAACCGGTTATGCACATGCTGCCAGTTCTTTGTTGTGAGTAAGCTGTTTCGGCCACGTGAATTTGTGAAACTTTGAGTAAATTTCAACTGACGTAAAACATGGATGTCACGTTCGTGTACGGTTCATCCTGTTTTCACTCATCTGATTTTGCGATTTTTGTTTTCATAATTATGTTGCACATGCTTCAAGCTAAATATGTGACATATCGGGAGAAATTGCAGGAATATTTTTTGTGTAGAAAATTTGCATCAAATATTCGTGTTGCCATCTGGCAACGCTAGGCGCTTATACTCAGCGAATGTGGTGACTCTCCGGCCAAGCCATTTTCATTGGCCGGACAATCTTCTCTTCGGAATTCTGCTAAAACTTCCATTCCAATAAGTGATGGGTCAAATAATTAGATGACTCAGCGGGAAACGACGAAAGCACTTGTCAGAAGAAACCAGGTGGTATGCGTTGTTCTTGAAAGTAATCAAGTGGTACTATTTGTTAATGGGCGAACTGATCAGATGGATCAAAATATTATTTATTACCGCATAGGAATTCGTACTGGCCCCTAATCACTTGGATATTAGACGTAGGCATGCAGAGTAGCTGGATTTTGACATTGACTGTGCTCAAAATGTATTGGAGGTATTTGTGTTGATATTCCAAAACATATATCACAAGCGCCTAGTTAAGGGAATATCTTGCTGAAAAAAAAACTGGAAGTTTTCAGTTTGACCTCTGAAAATTTGTACGGCAACATGGTTGTTTGAAACACTTGCAGGTCATCGATGATGATCAAAAACATCTCAAAACATGACTCACAGTCACAGAACATGCCAAGCCAAAAATTATGAAAATCGATCTCACAGCCTACTCTTTTTATGAGCAAAATTATTTTTTCCCAAAAAAACTTCAACGCCTTGTACCAACTCAACGAGACGATTTTGGATATAGGTGAGTTGGCCCAAATCAACTTGTTTTTATCCCAGGAGTCCACAGCCGAGCCATGTCCCAATCTTTTACAGACACCCTGTATATCATTTCGTTATCAGATGACGGTCGAAATTTGCAGTCGGCTCTTGGACTTCGAGCGCGGCAATATTTGAAGCGTCCTGCCTCTAGTTGCTTCTTCAAAAAACTATTGATTCTGCGAGCATTCTTCATCGATCCGTCAACGAAACCCGCCCCGCACACCATTCCCGCCCACCTACCAGCACTAACCCCGCCCCCCTCTTTTGCGCAGGTCCGCGAACGCACCCAGCGCTCCGTCCCGATGTCGGCCGGCCAATCGCGAACGTCCAAGGCGGCCGGCACGCCCGACTCGCTGTCGGACAACGAGAGCTCCGGCCCGCGCACGCCCAGGAAGCCGACGTACAGGTCGACGCTGACGCCGGGCGGGTCGCGGGGCAACTCGCGGCCCGCTTCGAGGACGGGCAGTCGGCCGGGCAGCAAGCCGCCCTCGCGGCACGGATCGAACTTGTCGTTGGATAGCACAGGTGAGTGCCGGATAGATAGATAGATTGTTTTTTTTATCTTCTGGTTCCCACGAAATGGGATATCCTGTAATGTTCAGAGATCATCGTGAGAACCAAGGGAAATGAGGTAGGAATTAGTGTTCTTCTTGAATTTCTGGAGTTTATATGCATCGGGGAACATCTCCCTTGGCAATGTGTTCCAGAGCCTCGCTGCTCGTTGGATGAACGAGTCTTTGGAAAGAGACGTTCTGCAGGTCTCCAAAGTGACCACGAAGGAGTGCGAAGCCTCAACTCGACGGGTTAATCTCGCGGAGACTGCCAAGGGAGGTACAATTGTTGATATTTCAGAAGAGCATCGTCCATGAAAATATCTATGAAATAGAGCCAGATCGCCAACTTTTCTACGGTGTTCCAGAGAAGTGAGTGAGTTCGTGAGCGAGGCATCACCCACGAGACGAATTGCCCTTTTTTTGGACAGAATCCAACAGTTTCAGGGTATGTTTGGGTGTTTCACTTCAAATATGGGAACAGTTAGCCAGGGCAGGTCGGATCTGTGCCTTATAGATCATAAGCAGCTGACTAGAAGTGAAATAGCTCCTGGCCCGAAACAGAAATCCAAGTTTTTGGGATGAATTTTTAGCAATTGGTCTCACGTGATTTTCCCAAGAAAGGATATCACCAAGCATCGAAATGGATGTCTTCAATGGTATGGTTACTCTTGGCAAGCTTATGTTGGGCACAGTGAGATCGGCGTCTCTAGAGAAAACGCATGCTTGTGTTTTGTTTGCATTGAAATCTACCAAGTTATGGGATCCCCATTCGAGAATTGTTGCCAGTCCATATTTATGTTGTCAACATTTCTTCCTCCCCTATTGGTGCCCTGGAAGAGAAGGTGGTATGGAGGGTACTATCATCCGCGAAGCTGTGTACTGGATATGAAGTTGCTTCCAACAAATCGTTGATATGGAGTAGAAATAGTGTCGGTGCTAAAATTGATCCTTGCGGAACACCAGTATTTATGATAAGATAATCCGATCAAACTCCGTCTACCACTACATGGAGATACCTGTTCGAGAGAAAACCAGCTAGCAGGGAACATAGCTGGGAAGGCAAGCCATAAGATGGAAGCTTGGCGAGGAGTCCGTGGTGCCAGACTCGATCGAATGCCTTGGAGATATCAAGTGCCACGGCTAAGGTTTCACCATAGTTTTCAATAGATTGCTGTCATAGATCATCATAGATTTTTGAGTTGTCGCTTCGCGCTGGCAGCACGTGCATTTTATAGCTCGTCGATAGATTCCATGAAAGTAGTGTCTAAAGGTGCGTGAGTAATGTCAACTGCAGCTAATCCCTCTGAGTGACTCCAGACAGTTGCCTATAGTTGAGAATTCAGTGCTAGTGTATTACGTTAATTAGTGTCATATTAGTGCATATAAACAGATATAACCTTGATCCGGTGTACAGCTATTAAATCTGTGCAGGCCTCCTACCAGCAGTATCATGCCCCCTCCAGCTAATTGTCAAATCTGCCTAAAATCCACGTTGATCGCTGGCAATAATAATTACCTACGATGTTCAGTATGTCAAGCGCCTTTCCATCGAGAGTGCGCTCGGCTGGAGCCCACGACACTAAAAGGCGATGTCTCCGCGACCTGGACATGTCCAAAGTGCACCAACTCTTCACCGCTGAATACGACCAATTTTAATGCGCTAATGGCACAATTAGCCACTGTCTCGAACGGAATCAGCTCATGCAATGATAAAATAGAAGAGCTCAACAAAACTATAATGATACAAGCCTCTTCCATAGCAACCTGCGTATCGGATATATCAAATCTGCGCGAGGAAAATGCCATTCTGAAAGACAAAATTAGTACTCTCGAGCATAAACTAGATAACAAAGCCATCAATGTCTCAATTGACGAGTTTCACGTTGAAACGAGTGAGCGATTGAGGCGCGAGAAAAATGTGATTATCTTAGGTATGCCTGAAAACAAAGATTCACATAATGATACTGTAGCCGTCAGGAGTATTATCGACTCCATTGCACCTGATGTCAAAAATTACATCAAATCTGGTAACCGCATTGGGAAACTAGCACCCAACAAGACTCGTCCATACAAACTAACCCTTAGTTCGCCTGATAATGCAGTTGAAATTTTAAGGAAAAAGAATGACATACCACGGAATTTATACCCCAACATTAAAATAAAATCCGATATGACACCTCAACAATTAAAGCACTTAAAAGAACTGAGAGAAGAAATGGTGTCGAGATCCCAAGAAGAAGGGACCCAACTAACTATAAAGTATATAAATAAAATTCCAAGAATTGTCCCACTTGAACCGGAAAAAAATGCAAACAAAAGGAATAGAGACGGAGAGGACTCACCTAAGCGTGACCTGAAGATCAGCAAATCATCCCTCGCCGGCTCTTCTCAATAGCAATCACTGAAAATCATATTTTGGAACTGCCATGGGTACGGTAATGTGGAAGACTTCTGCCGTGACTTCAAGGACTTTGATATACTGTGTGTTTGTGAGACATGGCTCACATCAGAGCTAAAAGAATCTCCAAATTGTATATCTGCGTATAAAGTGTTAAGTTCTTGCGCCCTGAAGCAGAATGTGTCCTAGTATCATAAGCCTCCACCGAACACCTCAAGTACTACGGTGTGTGACACGCACTGACTGCAAATTTCTTGCTCGTATGACTTCATTCTCGCGGAAGATGTCTATCGTTTCGTGCTTGTTGAACATTATACTATTTTATTGTATTTCTAGCCACCTCTGTATCCTTTAGGGCTAGACAATGTTGTATTCTGGACACGCCGTGTGTATCCTCTTTCTTATAGACAACCACTTTCCATAGGAATAAGATATAGCCTCATTATAAATATTATGTCAAAACCTCAAACTCTTGCTGTAAAACTTTCGTTTTTGGAAGCAATAAATATTGAATTGAATTGAATTGAATCAATAGATTGCTGTCATATATGTGAGACATAAGCGAGCAGGTCACCAGTTGATCTATGATGACGAAAGCCATATTGCCTATCGTTGATAATACCTGAATGTTCTAGATATTTCATGAGCTTGATGTTGATACCTTTCTCCATGATCTTTGAAATAATAGATAGCAGTGCGATCGGTCTGTAGATGCTAGGTAGGGTCTTTTTGCCTTTTTCAAGAACTGGTTGTACTCTTGCAATTTTCCAGTTGGACGGGAATATCCCCATTTCGTAAGAGTAGTTGAACAATTTGCCGGTGGCTCTATCAATCCACCAACTGCGTTTATATATTCTTTGGTGATTCCAGTTTGACGTGACCACGCGTTCATTTATTACTGTTGTGTCAACCAAAATTGCAAACCATTCCACCGATGTACACAGATTGTGGACTAATTTTGGTTGCTTCCGAAATGACAGCGACAGCATAACCTCAAAAAACTAAAAACGAAATTTCGGATTTGAAAGCAGTTTGCCATTTGCCTAAGAAGAAATATGGATGAATTAATCGAAATGAGTGTAGAATATGAGAAAAAGAATAGCTGCATATTCGACACCAACAGAAATTGAAGAAATTCCGAGTGGAAGATACTATTTCCTTTTCCATGATGAATTTCAAGAAATTAGAGCAAATATTCAGGAACCTTGAGTTTTTATGAGGTTATATGGCTCGGGGAACACCTTCCTAGGCAATGTGTTCCAGAGCCTCGCGATTATCATATTTTCAGAATATTCCAGAAATGCATGAGGTTTTTTCATATTGCAAATCGTCATATCAAAGCGGTTCGAATTACACATTTTTTGTTTCATTTGATCAACTTTCAATCTCTCACCATTCAGGAAATAGTAATACTATCCCTATATGAAACCGGCTTGTATAGTAGAACAAATCCATCCAAGTTGCAGAGCGCTGTTTCCAGATTGCTTGATCCAATCGTCGATTCTCGTATGTTCTAGATGATGCTACCCCTTCGAGGATACCGAGGCGGACGCCCCTGTCCGGAAGGACTGCCACCACAGCCTCCTCTACCAGAAAACCGATCAACGGGTCTGGTTCTAGACCGCGCACGCCCACTGGGCTGATTTCTCCTGCTAGTCCTGCCACAAGGTAAATCATATTCCTGGCGATATTTGTTGACATGGATATGAGTAGAATGATATTGTATTCTTGATTCGCTATTGATTCTGCACAGACAAATATAGTACACGAAAAATACATTGTGAAATTTGTTTCAGTGAGTTCGATCAATCTATCATTGTCCTTCTAAATGGACATTTAGTAGGCTACGTTTTATATTATCGGTGCACTGACCCGAAATATGTCGATAGCTCATTTGTTTCAATTGAATTTTTGTCAATTAGGACAATTGTACAATTTGACGTCGAAGTTTTCATCTTTTATTTTTTTATAGAACTGTAGAGATAGAGAAGATTGTTTCTGACTGTTGTCAGACAAATTACAATTCCCATTTGAATTTCGAGGTTTGAATGAATGTAAGTGAAGACTATTTTTTCTACTTGCTCAATTTCGAGTTCGTTAGTGAAAAGGAATATTCTTTGATATAATAATGAACATGAAAAAATGGATATATATACAGGGGGATCCACGGTGGATGGCCTATTAGAAGTATCTGAACAATTATTATTCCAAACAGAACACCCTGTATTTTATTTCATTTTAAGATTCTTCCTGAAGAGCTGATTTCATCAATGGATCAAACTTAGGGTCTAGCAGGAATGAAAACAGAGATATAGAGTGTTCAAAATAGAGATTTTTCAATTTCAGGATTCTTTTTACCCCTATCTTAACTTAACAAGGTGCTTCAAGATTCAAAATTCTGATCACCCTGTATCTGTTCCAATTGAATGTTAGTAGATAGTGAATCGAAAGTTAGGATAGGGACATGTAAGCCATTTCGATCGATAATGAATAGTTTCGACACAAAAAAATCCTAAAAATTGAAAAATCTCGATTTTGAACACCCTATATCTCTGTAATCATTTGTGCTAGACCCCAAGTGTGATGCATTGATGAAATCAGCCCTTCAGAAAGAATCTGAAAATGCAAAGAAATACAGGGTGCTCCATTTAAAATAACGAAGTTGCTAGTTGTTTCTGATAGAAGTGGCAACACTGTATCGATGAAAATATTTCAGACGGATAGAGAATGTTCAATTATCAAAGCATCCTAATTTTCAGAATGTTTTGTCTTCTCGTTCTCCTGATACTTCTAATAGACCATCCACCGTGGATCACCCTGTATATAAAGAAATACATTGGGAATTCGCATTCTCTATGTGATGAAAATATCAATTCTCTCTCGGTTTATTCAACAGGAAACAACTACTTTCCTGACTATATGCCACGACGAACATTGAATTACATCTATTAATCATACACGATAAGAATTTGAAGTAGAGAATTTGCATTCTCCTTCATATAAAGATATGCATATAATATCATTCTGAATATTCAACAGAAAACAACTACTTTCCTGGCTATTTGCCACGTCGAACAATGTTGAATATCTGTTGAACATCCAAAAAGAGAGCATAAAAAATAAAAATCCTCTGATATTGAGATTTGACATTAACTCTCAAATCGAATAGAATGATATGATGTATCATGATATAAAATATCACTTACCAATATGTTCAGTATAGGAATGAAATTTGAAATGTATATGTATGAGAAGTATACTTGTATAAACTCTGATCTTGATGAGCTTGGAACTTCGAAAAAAAATCATTCGTATCAGTGATATGGAAATTATATCTCCCACAAACATATATGACAGTAATCGAATAAATTCATTTCGGATAACAAATCGTCATCAGTAACCTGAAGACCAGTTATTCTTTGAGCCATTCTTCATGATATACACAATTTTCATCCCCCTTATCAATACTTCCACCCAATCTTGTTATTTTTTTAGATCTAAATCGCAGATTCGTGAATAGGTTGTTTTCAATTCATAATTTCTCTCCACGCCCTGTATGATGAATATCAATTTTTCATACATCTAGAAAAAAAGTTTTTTAATACTCCTTTTTCAATAAAGACGTGAATTTTAAATTTTAGGCAACTTGCTAAGCGAGCTATTTCATCGTTGCATCAACAATGATAATGTTCTTTGTGAATCCTGCTTTCACTGAACTGTATCTGTGACTGCACCTGTACTTCAAATATTTTGACATAAGAAATTTTTGTTTACAAATTTGATGGTGAAAGTGGATCTGAGAAATACGAAACATTTCTAAGATCAGGATTACAAATGACTATTTAGTTCACAATAGAGATCACTGGCTCAGTTAAAACATCGGCGAAAAGAGATAATATACCCGGCCTACTAGGTTTTTATTTATAACGACAATGGTTCGATATTCATGTATAGATAATAATAATATATTCATTTTACTTGTTTCTTTGGGATTTTCTCTCCTCGTTTCTATAAAATAAAAGTATTCGTATTATTTCAATATATTTGTAGAGGGACAAATCAGATGATTTGCCCCAAAATGTCACTGCGTTTAACAAATTTTTCTATCAGGGAGTCTAAAAGAAAAATCCAGTAGCTTGTCAGTGACAATTTGTTTGAAAAAATTTTTGAAGGAAAGAAATATAGATATATTGAAAAAATATCGAATTTGTACTTATCTTTGGACGTTTCGGGACCGATTCTGCTCCCGTTCTCAACATGTAAATGCAAATTATTTTTCTTTGAAAGTTGTGCTGCGTATAGTTTGACACTTTTCAATGTCATACTGATGTTGGCATATGAATGAGTGATTTTAGTCTACAAATGAGTTACAGGATGTTTTCATTAATTGATCTTGAATCTACCATTTTCATGTTCAGTTTTCAGTAGTGAATACCATGTTCTATCAATATCAACTGAACAGGAAGCAATGCTATTGTCTCCGTTTAGAAGAATACAAGCGGATTCCTTTATTTTTCTTTTTTGTTTGTTATCTTCCTTTCCTATGATTTTGATATTATTCCACTGTGCCATATGTTGTCCATCTTCAGTGAGGATATGTTCAGTTAGCTTCGATTTATCGATATGTCTTTTCTTGATATTGTACTTGTGTTCTTTTGTCCTTACTGAGAGAGGTCTCTTCGTTTCACCTGTATAATACTTTCCACAAACACAAGGTATACTATAAATACAATTTTTTGATGATTGTTCTTCATTTTTTGGCTTTGTTTGAGTTAGAATGGATCTCATTGTATTTTCAGTTTTGAACACAGTTTTCACTTGGAACTTATCACCAACACGTTTTATTTTTTTCAGATATGCCGGGAATGTACTGTATTATATTCGTCGTTATTGATGGTTGTTTTTGTTGTGGTGTATTTTTTTTTTCAATTTGGTGAATCGTTCTATCAATGAAGTTCCTTGGATATGAGTTGAGTTGAAGAACATCTCTGATGTGGTGGATTTCGTTATTGAAAATTTGTTGGTTAGATGATATTGATTTGGCTCGATCATGAAGTGATCTGATTATTCCTTTTTTGATAGCTTTTTGATGATTTGATTGAAAATTGAGGTATCTGTTAGTATGAGTCTTTTTACGATATACACTTGTTAAGAAAACATTGTTTGATTTTTTGATAAGAACATCTAAAAATGGTATATCTGAAAAAATAAAACGTGTTGGTGATAAGTTCCAAGTGAAAACTGTGTTCAAAACTGAAAATACAATGAGATCCATTCTAACTCAAACAAAGCCAAAAAATGAAGAACAATCATCAAAAAATTGTATTTATAGTATACCTTGTGTTTGTGGAAAGTATTATACAGGTGAAACGAAGAGACCTCTCTCAGTAAGGACAAAAGAACACAAGTACAATATCAAGAAAAGACATATCGATAAATCGAAGCTAACTGAACATATCCTCACTGAAGATGGACAACATATGGCACAGTGGAATAATATCAAAATCATAGGAAAGGAAGATAACAAACAAAAAAGAAAAATAAAGGAATCCGCTTGTATTCTTCTAAACGGAGACAATAGCATTGCTTCCTGTTCAGTTGATATTGATAGAACATGGTATTCACTACTGAAAACTGAACATGAAAATGGTAGATTCAAGATCAATTAATGAAAACATCCTGTAACTCATTTGTAGACTAAAATCACTCATTCATATGCCAACATCAGTATGACATTGAAAAGTGTCAAACTATACGCAGCACAACTTTCAAAGAAAAATAATTTGCATTTACATGTTGAGAACGGGAGCAGAATCGGTCCCGAAACGTCCAAAGATAAGTACAAATTCGATATTTTTTCAATATATCTATATTTCTTTCCTTCAAAAATTTTTTCAAACAAATTGTCACTGACAAGCTACTGGATTTTTCTTTTAGACTCCCTGATAGAAAAATTTGTTAAACGCAGTGACATTTTGGGGCAAATCATCTGATTTGTCCCTCTACAAATATATTGAAATAATACGAATACTTTTATTTTATAGAAACGAGGAGAGAAAATCCCAAAGAAACAAGTAAAATGAATGTACCACCTCCTCGATTAACCTACAGACAGTATTTAATGATAATATATCTAAATCTGAGTTGGTACTCGACTTCATTCATTTGCAGATGAGTTACAGAGTTCTGAGTCCTAAGTCGTATCATCTGTCACATGTCACCTGTCATCTTACTTATCATGTCACTTGTCATCTGTAAGCTTTCATATGCAAATGGCGACTATTTTGACGGCGGCCATCTTGTTTTCAGACGAACATAGGTATACTACTATTATTCTTTCATGTTGTCAATTGGATATTTCGAATTAATTCCTAGAAGTGACTTGGAAACAGTACCTCATACTTTTCTATCAACAGTGTTGACGCAAAAAATGTGAATAAATGCAGAGATCTGATGAAAATTCATCATTTTCCTACCAGTTGCAAAATGAGTAAAAATGTATCAAACTCAGATTGTGACTGATTTTTCATTGAAAAATATTTCTGGATTAGGAACATTACATTAGATGCCAAGTATGTCGTTGAAATCATTTGAAAATACAGGATGCCAAAACTGAGTGATTTGTTTGATGTATTACTCACATTATAATGGAACTGTTGGTTGATATA